CCGTCCCGTTGAGCAGCGGGGCGAGGCACGTTGCCTACCCCAGCCTCTCGACGGCGCCTCGTCTCGTACTTTACCGCAGCGTCCACGTCTGCACGGTGAAGTCGGCGACGGCCAGCCTCTCCTTGGTGATGACGGCGGGTGTGACGCCCAGGTCGATCTCCCCGCGCTGCAGCATGCCGATCATGCCGTCGAAGGTGCCGTTGCCCCGGGGGTAGCCCCAGGATGGCGTCACCAGGAGTCGCAACCTGCCGGCCGCCGAACCATGGGGAAATTTTCCCTCGAAAAATTAAAAATATTGACAAAAACTAAACTAGTGTCATTTCTCCTTTTTGGATTTGTAGTATGTGGTGAAATGTCCGTACGTGAAGTTGTACATCTCGGCGAGGTGGGTGGCGAGCGCGAAGCCAAAGCGCGTCTCCGTGTCCATGTGGGTGTTGGTGTGGTCCACCAGGGCGCGACGCAGGGCGGCCTGGTCATCGCCCACCGCAATCTGGTGGAGCTGGAACAGCAGGGGCTGGTGCAGAAGAAGGTGATCCCAAGGTGATCCTGGGTGATGCCCGTGCTGCTCAGCTCACCACGACCGCCGCCGGGAGGACGGCGCCGCAGAGGTCACCGCGGAGGGTAGCGGCGCGGTCGCGGCCCTCGCGGCCCCGGGGCGAGAGCCGCAGCCCGTCGTCCGGCCGCCACCGGCCCACGACCAGGGAGCGCGGCGGGCACTCGTCGCCTGCCTGTCGGAGAGAGAACATATGGCGGTGGCAGACGGCGTCGCAGTCAACGCGAAAACGAGAAAACGACGACGTCGCCTTCGGATCGACCTTGAACAGGCTACGCAGCTCGACCTCGCCGCCCGCGAGCTCGCTGGCGAGGGTGAAGTCGGAGTCCACGGCGAGGTCCAGCTCCGGTTCGGTGGATCCCAGGGCCAGCCAGGTCACCGATCCTGCAATTTTCTAAACCACTCCCCATGCCAACGACAAATCAAGTTTCGGAAAGACACGATTGGGGGTGGGGGTGGGGGCATTGAGGTTGTTCTCCTGACCACGCATTACCCTTTGCACCGCGAGCTGGCCCTCCTCGCACGCCAGGTTGACGTATATCCCCGTCCTGGCGGGCCCTCCCGACTCGGCCAGCCCCTCGGCGCCGTCCTGGACGCGTCCGACGCCGCCCCGGACCGGCCTGGTGCCGGACTGCAGGGCTCTCACCAGCAGCACGGCCTCTGCGGGGCGGCGCGGGCGACGTCATTGTGATGTCGGAAGAACGCGGTGTTCTCGACGCGCGGGCTCTTACCGCGATGCGAACAGGGGAAGAGGAGCACGAACGGGACTTCCCTCGCGGAGAAGAAGTCCCCGACCAGAGTGTGGGTGGCGCTGGACGACGCCTCGTAGTCCTGGCCCCACACCATGGACACGCCCAGGATGGCGGCCAGGGCCGCCGTCAGCGCCGAACCACCCGCACCGCCGCGCATCCTGTTGGTGCCCGACTCCGGGCCCGGGTGGCCGACATGAGCTTCAACGGCACGCAATTGGGGGCCCACACAAAGGGAATGGCCAACCGAGTGTGTCAACAACAAACAGTTTCCTGTGTGTGCGGCTTCGGCCACCCGCTCCGCGATCAAACTAACCACCCCGGCAAACAGTGTCCTGAAGAATCGGTGATGTCAATGAATGAGGAAAAAGTAAAATAAATGGACATTTTTCTTTGTAAAAAAGAGGGAAATTTTACTAACAAATGGTAGAATTTGACACACAGCACTCATTTTCTATAACATACAAAATTACTTACAACACTATGCATAATACTTATACTTTGTTCAGCCTCTGTTTTGCTTTTATCTGATGGGATAAATGAGGTGATGAATTAATTGTCATTGTGAATATTACTAACAGTAAGATAACAGAAGTTATTGGCATCTTATGTGATGCAAGTCAATCTTCTTCTCACTTACAAAAAGGAAAACTAAGAAAGAGAGACAAAATTGCATAGCACACTGGAAGAAATTTGAGATAATACTTCTCTCTACTTAAATTTCTCTTCATGGCACATGCAGATAACATAAAAACTAGCAAGTGGAAACTACTTCTAGTGTGAACAACATATAATAAAAATATCAACAGAAGTAATTTAGATAAAATTTGTTTACTAGCTAACAGACTAAAAATGTTCAAGACAATCAAATTTTTAAAAGATCTTTTCAGTTACAATTTTCTTGTTACCTGAATTATTGAGTTAAAAAAATATCTAAAAAATATTGCAAAGGTTTCACAATAAGTTGTTCAAAAAAGAGATTCCATATAAATACCATAATTTACTTGAAAGGGTATGTGTGGTATTTATTATGTAAGATCAAAGTCCTGATACAAAAAATTGATTTTTCCCCCCAACTTTTTGAGTTGATAAGGCAGCCTCTAAATCACTTAACCCAGGCTGACATAGAGTTCCATAAAAAGAAAATGACAGTCAGGTCATAGTAAGAAACAAAAATGAAACAGGGTACAGTGAGATACTAGTTTTATAAATGTTTATACACCCCTCCTATCTCTCTTTCACATGAATTTTGGGTATTGGTAAGTCTACGGTGCAGAACAAATAAGACGAGGCAGAAGTAACCTTTCATAACCACATTTTTCACTCTTAGGAATGATACATGCAGGATACACAAAATGTGAAACTTACAAAGCACAACCGGGATCCACTAACATTAACATCCTGCAGTCTTCTCATGGAAGCGCTTGAGTTTTCACTTAATAATATAATTTTAACCTGCAACGTATTTTGCATTGGAGTTCACCGCACTTATTCAAAAAAAGAAAAACAACAACAACATAAACTGCTCATCAGGAAGTCAACTAAACAGGTTTAAAATAAAAAATCTTCTCTACTCTCATCTAGTAGCTAAGTAACAGTGTACTTTAACAGTCCGTTCAGTTTACAGGTCTGTCAAGTAAAATAAAGATAATATCTAACACGTGCCATTTTTCAAAATTGATTTACACAATAACTATAGATTACAGATAAATATAAAACAATGGTCAAAGGAATGAAAATGGCTCCATTATTTCAATTGATTCTTAACAAATAAAGAGGCACTGAATTAATTCCCTGCCCAATACAACAGGCCACCAAATATTTTCAATTACAATATGACAAAAGATTAATCACAGTTCAGACGTAAAAATTGTCAGGGTTTCTCTGACATCACAATTAATTAATTGATTGATTGGCTTCATTTGGCTACTATGTTACTGACTGAGTTACAAAGTGCACTTCCTTCCAGTAGTTTAAAACAAAAACTAAAAAGGAACGAACACTGAAGAATAGCTGCATGGATATATTGGCAGTGTTCACAGAGCTTGATGTGATATGGTTCATCAAAGTCTTCAAACAAAAGATCTCTGACAAAATACTTAAGACCACTACAGGTGAATGTCATTTATAAATTTTAACAGATTTAATGAAGCTACAATTGATTGTTGTTACTCTTAAATTTAAGTTTGTCTTTCCAATCGGAAATCATAATCAAACTCTTTCTCAATTTCATATGCTGTTCTAAATTTCAGAGGAGGAACAGTTACCTGCGAGGAAAAGTAAGTTAGAATTGCACAATAAAATGCAGAGACAGATCATTAAAAAATAGAATATTTGAACTAACCTTAGAGGAATTAAACTGCAGTTTAGTGTTGAGCACGAACGGAATGCCTTCCAATCCTGAAAAATCAAAACAACACCAGAATGTTAAGAAGGTAACCATCTGGAAAAGGAGAAATGAAAATGGAAGGAACAAAGAACAATACCTTGAAAACTACCAAGGGTAGCGTAAGTAGACATTGTTGATGGCAGTTTGGGTGCGGGACGCAATGGAAGAGGGCCTGCGGAAGTTGGGGGTAGTGGAGCTGGTCTTTTGGGCGATAATGGTGATATGACTAACTTTTCATATTCATGTGGTGAATCATCATCATTATTCAAAGCAACATTCTGGTAGCCAGGATCATTAACCGGAGGATTCTCAGCAGGGGCTCGCCTGTGTGGAAGGGGCATTGGCAGAACATTTGAATTACCATTGACTGAGGGGCCTCGAGGATTAAGACTATATGCTAGCTGAGGCATGGTAGATTTTGCTCCTGATCTCGCAATGATTTCACCGTTGGTGTTGGTTCCAACCTTATAGCACAAAGTAAGACCGTTTATCTCTCTGAAAACAGACACAGAACACTTACAATAAATATGAGAGACACGCAAATCATTCAAGATTATTTTTCTATACTTAAATATATAATGTTTAAAAAATCTGCTTAAAAATACTGACCCTCCTAAAAGGAAACCATCTGGAGCCTTTTTCATGCGACTGAGCAAAATTATATCAGTAACACAAGCGATAGCTGTTGTACGCCTTGCAACCTTGTAGCAAAGTTGGCTTTTCCTCCATGCTTTTTGATCTTCAAGGGGAGAAATATTAGGGAATTATAAATATTGGATAACTTAAAAATGAAAACAAAAACCAGACAATATTTATCTTTGAAAATAATAATCTTCATACCTGTGTCTTTAGTTTTGGCCATTACACAGTAACTTGCAGGTGGTGGATCCTTCTCTCCAACGATGGCAATGGATTCTACAATTAGGTCTGCAATTCCGTGAATTTTAGAGATGCAGAGATAACGAGTATTTCTTTTGCCAAATAATGCTGACTGCCGGTACAAATCTGCATCTGAATCTTGATCATGGGTTCGATTGACCTGAGCAAACAAATACAGGAATATTTTATTACCATAGCAGTCAATTAATAAACAGGAGAGTTGTTGCCCTGGCATTTCAACAGTGTTTTCGTACTTACCACATAATATCCGGGAGGGCACTTTACAGGATCTTCGACAACACAAATGGACAATATAGGTTCATCATCAGGCAGGGTTTTATACACTTGCTGTATCATGGCTGGAGGGTAACTGCAAAAAGAAATAAATATGTTTTAATGCCTACTTCTCTGACCAGATGTGACATTAATAGACAATAACATATTTTCATTCATGTTAAACAAAACAACTCATTGCCCTTAAGGCACTGTACAGTATTACGGGGAGAAAAACTTTAGTGTCAACTATAATAATTATATCTGGAGGGGCACACAAAATGTTTCAGTAAACATCTGACAAAAAATAAAATCACGCAAGGGTGTGAATTTAAAAATAAAATAAAAGTAGACGTGGGGAGAACCAAGAAATTCAAACCAAAATCTGATTTATTTGGATATTGAAAAAACACACATAAAAACATGAACAATAGGGGGTCCACGGGGGTCAGCAAAAACGCAGATGGTCTAGGTTCGTCTTCAATGACTTAACTTAAAATAACACCATCTTTACGTTTAATGAAGGAAAAAATATTGGGAATACCCATTACATTACGAAGTCTACGGCTTTTTGGGGAAGATGTGTTCTGCAAACGTCGGCACAACCTATAGCCCATAAAGCACAACATTCGCTGATGATTCATACCGGATAAGAAATACCGCTGTAACTGGTATGAAGGTACACAGCACCAACCTAAGCCCTGGAGGGTACCTAACCCGGATATTTACAGAGATTCTTTTCTTGTCTAGCGATAAAAGATTGTGATAAAGCAAACCAAAACACAGAAAATGAACGGTACCTAGAACCGCAGACAAGACCTTCCCCCTCTACTGGGTTCTTATCCTGGCATGCCATGAACATCTAAACAATAACGTCGAAACTTGGCCATGCAGTTGTACACATCCTAATGGTTTCATTAAATTAAATCGCAATAGTTGTACATTATCTAGTCAGATTAAAATGGTGTCACTCGCTATTTGACATGATAAAGTAAGTCTTCATTTCCCAGTTGTAGCTCTCAGAGGTTTCCAGCTCTGTCCTCTGGCACTTTTTCTTCCTCCTATTTGTTTTCTTCTTTTCTCTCGAGAGTAGTGTTGTTTTCGTTCGTCTGCCTTGTTTTACTCGAAGTTGTGCAAGAAATGGCTTCGAAAGTACTTAGGAAAGAGGTAATTTTCAAAGTGAGATATTCCATATTGTTTTTAGTCACTCAGTGGATACGCTGTGCTAACAAAAGCTCACTGAGCCTTTCTTAACGATTTTTATTTCACTTTACGAAGCTTCACATAGGGCTACTTAACCTATTTTCATGGCAATAGACATCTCGATAATATTCAGATTATGCTATAACTTTTTAGAGTTGTCATTCAAAACTTTTTAAGTTTTCGCTATTTTTCTTATTTACAGGTTCTAGCTGCGTTTAGGAAACTGCACAAGACACGCCAGAAAGTCTTTAGAGATGACATCCATGCACTGACAGGTACTTCGTCAAACCTTGCATGTGTTCTTGCAAGACAGAACACATGTTTTTAAATATTTTAAATTCTTCAATGTAAATTGTTTAGAAACACAAGAATTTTTTTGGCTCATAATACTGTAATTGTTATTCTTTTCCATGGTCCATAGCGGCAAGAGAAAAAATTAATGAAGAATTTCGTAAAAATATTGCAGTTAGAGATGAATCTGCCATAAAAGAAGTGAGTTGTCACACTAGACTTTTGATGGTTTTATATTTATGAATAAGTGTTAATTAAGACTTTGCTCTCCCCATGAAATGTTGCAGCTTGTTGATTTTGCTAAAGCTGTGGAGTATGAAATGCGAACAACAATAGTACAAGCCGTTGAGGTTGCCCCCGGAAGGTTTGGTGGGTATCTTAAAACTATTATTAAAACTTTCCATTCAATGTACAAGACATTTGAGATGTTTTTCTAAATTACAGCTGCAAGAATTACCGAGGATACACAGCTGCTCGATAATGTAGAATTTGATATTACAAAAATTCCTGATGCACCACCCAAGGGCAAGAGGGTCTCTGTATGCTGTCAGGATCCAACACAAAAGAAGGATTAGGTTTCTTTTAGGTCCGAATTTAACTTAATATGTACTGATCTAGTATTGTGCAATATGTACCAAACCACTTTTCTGTTATCTGTAAGTTATCCTGTAGTTTCTCTTTTGGTTTGTAATTAACTCGATAGTAAATCCACCTATCTTTGTTTCTGAAATTGTCATTGGTCACTTCACAATTATCCCCACGAGGAAATCCTTAGAGCAATATGGAATTACGGTCTGTGTGGTCAAGATTGAAGGATTCCAAGGTCACTACATTTTCTGACAAAACGCCGGCAGGTCTAAATTTCCGCGAGTCCCTCGCCCCCCCCCCTTTTTTTGTTTGTTCCGCATTGCCCTTTGGCGTGGAGGCCTTGAATGGATGAACACTGGAGAGGTGCACCCCCCCCCCCCCTCCACACACACACACACACGCACGCACGCACTCACTCACTCACTCACTCTTCAGTCAGTCCCACCCGCAACTCTTAAAGCAAACACTCATTCGGGTCACTGACTTGCCCAAATCCGAGGAGCACCCTCTCGGAAACAGGAAGTGCCGAGCGGCTGCGAGGCGCCTGCCTGCGGGGCTCTGCTGTGGTCGGCGGACCGCCGGCGGCGCCGCTGGACCTCTGGACCCCGCGGGTAAAACTTAGCAGATTCGATCCCACAGTTCTCAAGAAAATTGGCCAAATCGGGTGGGGGATGATAATGACTGCTGAAAAGAATTAAACAACGTCCAGGACGACGTCGTTTTGGCACCGACTTTGCCATTGCGGCATCGTTTCGGTCACCACCAACTCACAGCATGGCGCGGTTGCTGCTCGCCCAGTGGTTCGGCGCCGCCATGATGGTGCCTGTTGAGGAAACTGCAGCCGCTGACGACGACGCGCGGAACGGTCGGGGTCGGCGTCACTCTCTACGACTATCCTCACTATCTCGAGACGGCGCTGCAGGTCGCCTTATCGGGGGGAGGAGGGGCGTATCTGACGGGGACCGGGGGCGGTGGAGATGATGCACTCGCCGGACCATCGAGTGAGTAACGAAATCAAACCGATGAGTTGGCGCGGCAGGTGTCCGGCCGGCCGGGGAAGTCCCGAGAGCCCGAGAGGCAGGCGCCGCCGTGTGCAGGCTCCCCCTAGTAGCAGTGTGCCGCTATTCGGTCGAGAAAACGTGGCAAAAACAAACAAAAACGACCTGCCATTCTCTTCGGAGGTTGGCCTGGACTCGCGCCGCCTGTCCGTGGATGGAACCCTCCCCCCCCCCCCCCGCTGTGGAACGGTACGAGTAGCAGGTGGTGTAAGTCAGTCGCTCACCCGCACGGTTGGGCAGACGTTAACGTTTGGACGTGAAAACAATTGTATTTCGGCTGTACGTTTAGTCCCCCGTGCCAGGTGGCTGATTAACCTCGCGCACTTCTGTAGTTCTACACTGGAAATGCAAGTGTGTGAATGTCGCTCACCTGCAGGTGAGCGACATTCCATTCGTACACTTAGAGGGGTAAAGGTGTGAATTTTTCCTAGAAAATTCACACGTTTACCCCCCCTAAGTGTGCGAATGGAATGTCGCTCACTTGCAGGTGAGCGACATTCACACACTTGCATTTCCAGTGTACTGTACTTGCCTTGTCACCTATAGCTGTCCACGGTGCCTTTACGGGCCGAGCGAGTAGTGTGTTTACTATTTTAAAGTTCGAAATTTTTCCGGAAACTTTTTCAGAAAAAGTTGGAATAAGTTTA